AAGCCATGAGGAGCAAGCCAGTAAGCAGCACTCCTCCATGGTCTCTGAGTCAACTGCTGCCCCCAGGTTCCTGCCCTGTTTGAGTTCCTGCTCTGACTTCCTTCAGTGATGGACTACAATATGGAAATGTAAGCCAGATAAACCTTTTCCTCCCAAACTTGCTTTTGGTCATGGTGTTTCATCTCAGCTACAGAAATCCTAACTAAGACACCTCCTAACTAGGATAGGTGATTTAGAATTCTTACTACCACACTATCTAAAGAATATTGAAATAAAACTGAAATTGCTGGCCCATTCTCATTTTTAGCATGCACCACATATTATTCTTTCCCCTCTCTCATCATTTGCTTGTTTAAGTCTAGTTAAGCCAGAAAGGACCCACTTTCATCTCCTGCAAAACCTTTCTCCAGCTATTACCATCTGTGTGTTGGAGATACCATGATGTAAGGTGTGCTACAGACAGACCACTTAGGGGACTGCAATGCTCTGGTTATTAGCAAGCTTTAAATCCTAGGTCTTACAGGAGCATTAAAAACTTGACCAACCAAAGAAAGCTTGATATCTCAAGAAATCAGGACTCCTTGTTAGCTTGAGGACTTAATGGTCCATAAGTTCCAAGAGGCTCCATAAGTAGGCCTAGAGGAGCCTCCCCAGAGAAGGACCAGGGTACACCAGTCCATTTGTGGATGTCCAAGTGCAGACAACATTGCTCACCATCCCAAGCCAACACCACATCTTATTCTAAGACTTTTTTTTTGCCACCCTACAGACTTGCTGAATAATCTAGATCCAGGAATAGATTGAACATAAACAGAACTGTGTTTCCATCCTTGAGCTGGGGCCTTCCTACTAAGTTCTTTCTCCCTCGAGATCACCTAAGTCCACATCCCAACAGTTCATACCTGCCTCCCTTGGTCTCGGAAGAACTCTCCGGTATTCTCAATAACCTGCTCATCCGACAGCTGGGAGTAGGGCTGCTCATGGCAGAAGGTGAAAGTCTCCCACAGAGTCACCCCAAAGGCCCACACATCGCTTGCTGTGGTGAATTTGCCCTATTGAAGGAAAAGAAGAGAGAGTCGGAGCAAGCCAGGCACAAAAAGAAAAAAGAGCATGTTAAACACATGCTCATCATCTGGAATCAATCTTCCCCTACCCAAAGCAAGGAATGTGGCAACCGGCAAGATGTGCATGGCGGAGCTGGAGATAGCAATGTGACCTTATTGGAAAGCAGTCCATCCTCCCATCCCTGTGATCTTCTCTTGGAGAGGATAGCCAAGAGCTGAAAGGATGCAGACGGTAAGCCAACGGACTCTGGGTGTTAGAACTGGTACCTGTAGGCTACTGATACTCTGAACACTAGAAGGGCCTTCTGTAGGATATGGGCCACTTAGGAGAACCACCGAGGGAAAGCCTAAATTAGTAGGGGAAGTCAACTGTTTTGATGGTAGGAATAAAAGAAGATGCCTGGAGTTAAGCCTGGCAGATTCAGGACGCTCCCTCCCCTATTCAGTTCTAGCCACAGTCTTGAAAAATAACTTGATCATTAAATATACATTTTCTATTTAATAAAGATAGTGACATGGACATGTAGAGGGCATTGATTTTTAGGTCAGAAAAATAAGAGGAATGGTTCACTAAATTACCCTGGTTAATAAGTCCTTTAATAATGCAAAAACTGGAGCAGGAAACATGGTCCCCTGAATGTAGGCCAATATGTCATTTTTTAAGGCCACAAAGCAACTTTAAGTTTAATTAAATGCCTAGTCATGTTAGAAACTGATAAAAATAAAGGCTCATATATATATACATATATATAATATGTATATATATAAATGTCATTAGGTTTTTATAAAATGGCATATATTATGCATCATTATTTTTGTTTAATCTTCTTTCTTTTTTTGTTTGAGACAGCTTCTCACTATCTAATCCATGCTTATGTCTAACTAACAACAATCGTCCTGTTTCAGCCTCCCAAGTACTGAGACGACAGACAGAAGTGAGCAATTATCTTCTTCTGGAGGACCTGAGGTCAATTCCTGGCACCCACTCCCATGCTC